ATGTTATCGCTTTCGCCGAGCGCGTTGTCAAGCTCGCTAAGTACCGCAAGTCTCTTTACGCTTACCTTGTTGCCAAGATGAGCGTCGTCGCCCCTAACCTTGCCGCCCTGATCGGCGAAGTTGTCGGCGCCCGTCTGATCTCCCACGCCGGAAGCTTGACCAACCTCTCCAAGTACCCCGCCTCTACCGTTCAGATTCTTGGTGCCGAGAAGGCTCTTTTCCGTGCCCTGAAGACCAAGGGAAACACCCCCAAGTATGGTCTTCTGTACCACTCTTCTTTCATTGGCCGCGCCGGCCCCAAGAACAAGGGCAGAATCTCCCGTTTCCTTGCCAACAAGTGTTCCATTGCTTCCCGCATTGACAACTTCTCTGAGGCGCCTAACACCAAGTTCGGTGAGGCCCTGAAGAGCCAGGTTGAGGAGCGCTTGGAGTTCTACGCCTCCGGTGCTGCCCCTACCAAGAACGAGGTCGCCATGGTATGTTGAGCCCTAGTCACCCTATTATATTGTCAAAACCAAATGCTAACAATTCAACAGAAGAACGCCATGGATGCCGTGTTGGCCGACCTTGATGTCGATGCCGACCAGAGCGATGCCGACATGGAGGATGCCGAAGTCGCCCAGGCTAAGGAGGAGAAGAAGGAGAAGAAGGAGAAGAAAGAAAAGAAGGAGAAGAAGGAAAAGAAAGAGAAGAGAAAGTCTGTGGGTGGTGACGGCGAGTCCGAGAAGAAGAAGAAGCGCAAGCACGACACGGATGCTGAGCCCTCCAAGAAGAAGCAAAAGGCCTAGATATGCAATTTGTTTGGACTTGGGAGTCTTTGTCATGGCGTTAGGTTTTGATTTTGTCTTGATGACTCGATTGGTACGGCTTGCAGGTATTTGTAAATTATTACCAGGCCCTTTGCCTCAGCAGCTCTGACTATCGCTGCTCTGATATTTTTCAATTAAGTGTTTTAAGTTGTTCATCGTGTGGTCACTATAGAGGGGGTTTCGACATAGTATATAGATCTAAAGAACCCAATTCGAGATCTTTGCAGGGTATAAAGGCTAGCGTCCCAGATCTTGACAGTGTTGCGCAAAGGTTTGATCATAAAAGAAATTTCATTTGCTCCACTATCTACAAGAGCATCTACCTGCAAGCCCTTTCCATCTTTGTGGAGTATGCATGGCAAGATGAGATGATGACCGTCCAGTCTCAACTTCTGCTGCTGCACAGAGCAAGCTGATATTGTTACTGATCATACTTCGTGTTTTGTTCTTCCTAAATCACGATTTTGATCTTGGACAGCTTTTTCTCTCAACGACTATGCCTTCGTCGTCCATGTCGGATTCCATCGTCGCGTTGTTTGCCTTCACCGTCCCCATCTAGAAAGGCGTGGAACCTCTTTCATCTGTGGGTTTGTGCACTCGGGGATTCGATGTCCGTGGTAATCATACCTGTAGAGGTTGTGATTTTTTGCGGATTTCTGTAACCCGATGACTTGTCAGGCCAACTCATTTGAGATCGCGTCCTCGAATAGGGATACCATAGCATCTTTAGCATATCTAACTTCCTATGCGCAAGATACGAAGTTCGTTAATGGCACTTTTCCTCGTATTCTTGTCACCGTAAATCTTTTCTATGTCTTCCAGTGCGTCTTTGGCGGACCGAAAGCTGCGCGGATGATCGGGTCGGCACTAAGCTCTGATTTATAGGTATGCGATACCGTCAGTGCGGCTGTGTGTAGGCAATAAGTTGCTCTTCATTTGGGTACTGAACTGCGCTTTTACTCAACTTGTCATAGACCTTGTCTCTCTAGCGACCGAATGTGCCGCGATCTCCTGAGAATACAGGTGCATCGGGGAAATTTGAGTTATTGAAACATCCCGGACTACTGGTGTACAGCAAGTGGGAACTGTTTCGTCGTACCGTTCAGTTCGAGCCTCCGGAGAGACGTTATGATGGGGAACACGACTCAAGTGCTGAGCGCCCCTCCATTGTCCGCCTAAAAGGCGAATCGCGCAAATCAAGTATGATAGTATCGCGACTGAATTGGGGATGACATTGTGCTTTATATACATAAGGCGGTCTATTCTTTTTGCCATTACGAGCGTCATTCGGGCGATTGTTGACCTTGATGGCAGCAGCTTTGAAATTGTGCCGCCACCTGCATCAAGATTCAAGCGGCTTTCGCGTTCATGGGCCATCTTCATCACCATTTTGAGTGCGTTGTGGTCGCTGGATGAACTAGACGGCTGACTGGAGTCAATTTCGGCGTTTCCGCTAGATATGAAAGGCGCCGTAAGTTTGTTCACAGAGTCTCCAAGGCTATCTAGTAGTCGCAAAGCTGACCGAATCACCAATTCAATGTGACTTGCTGGATCATCCACGGAAAACGCCCCGAATTGTAGCGCGGGGAGTGGAATGGACATCCTCTTAGCCAACGTAGCACCGAACCTTATAGCGGTCTGTGAGAAGGTATTATAATAAGCTTCATTTAGCCGCATGTAGGTAGGCAAGGCATGCAATAATAGAATAGTGACGGCTGATCGAGCTCTGTTCCTAGATGCTGTCATTCCGTATCTGAATTTCCGGGAATGCTCTCAGGCTTGGCGATAAACTGCTGGAACCGCGAGGAAAGGTTAGAGGATGTGGAAAGAGACGATTGCCCATGCGTATTCTGCACAGCGGGCGACTGAACTGGGCAATTTCCGTTTACTCGCAAAAGCTTGATTAATCGCTATGTGAGAAGGAAAGTTATGCCAATCCCACATTCTGATGAAGAAGGAGAGCTGGTGCCGTCTGTTTCGGGGGTTATCATGGGTTATATAGAAGGGGTTCTTTCAACGTGAGCCGAATCAAGTCAATGTCGAGCTCTAAAAGGTCTTCCATGAATTTCCGTAGAAACTGGGTCTGTGAACCGATCTTGCGATGGGAAGTCGGTCCCAGCAATAGCTCCGATTTCTGAGACGGCAGTGGTGGGATGTCGAGGCCGATTCTGTTTCTAGACTTGGGCACACCTGGTCTGGGAAACAATTCGAGTCGAGAGGGTTGATTATTAGTGATTGGGCTGTAAAGAGCTGTATTCTGGGCAGGGAAACTCGCGAAAATGCTAGATCTTAAAGGTGCCCCAAGGAGATTTAGAGACGGTGTAAAGATTTCTAGGAAGGGGACGTTCTAGTCGACACCCATGTATAGGTTCGATAACATCCGCTCGGGGGTCTCAGTACTGGCAATCAGGGCTCTGTCAACGGTGGTCGCTTGACAATTGTCTTTTAAATATCCCCTGTGCAGCAGACCCCAGTATTAGTGGTTAGACCCCGTGTATTCTAGGGAGCTAGGGGTACTCAACTAGTTCAGCAAGTCGATATCTCCCAGATGCGTGTTCGGTGAATAGGACATCCGGGGCGCCGGTTCCATGGCTAACGGCCTGTCGCTGGTCCATTTGGATATGTGGGAACCGTTACGGCGATCCTGATGGGTGGGCCGACACCCGCGGTTCGATGGACTAAACAAGCAATTTGCGTCCGCTCTTATACAGCGGCTGCATTTCCCTGCCTCATTGTGGTGACACCGTAGCTTTAGGTTATGATAGCGATCGCAAGCTTGTCGTGATGGTTGTTTCTACATTCCGAGAGCTGAGTTCAAAGAAGATTGGGCGAGCGTGGAACCAAGTCCAAGGCGATTGGCCTGGATCGGACCGAAGCTTGGGAAAAAGCAGAGGAGTTAGGTATATAAGTACACAGGTACTGGTTATAAGTAGGAAATTAATATCAGCCCTCAGCTGTGGGATTTTTGGGGTCCCTTGCCCCTTTGTATCCCCGCCAATGATGATGAGCCATGGCGGCTATTGTTTTTGTAGGTAGGTTGAGGAGGCCCGCTCATTTGGATCCAAAACTTAGCGCCCAGTGGGGTTCCGTTAGTGTTGATCTCCCGGTTATGAATGACCCACTAGGTAACCAACGTGCTGCTCCATTCTGTGAACTCAGATATAGCCTCGACGTTTTGCGTATCATTAACCTTCAAATAGACCGATGTATATGTTTTGCAGAATGCTATTGTCGTGACTACCCAGACCCATGCTATCTACAGACATTACTAGGCCCATTATCAATTGCTGACCGTGTTTGATTCACGAAATGCGTCCACTTGAGGTTGTTGGTTCTGACATCTTGATTGATTCCAATTATACATTCCTCGAGGCAATCTCAAAATATTCCATCGTATAAGGGCCTGTCTCCAGCTATCTATGGTGCTGTTAGTTGCGTACTAAGAACCATCTAGAACGAACCACATTTCAACCTCTACCTAGGTACCTATCGACCCTACGATCTGTATTGTATTAGATTATCAAGTGCTTTATGCCCTTTAGTGGCAAAGAACAGTGAAAATCAAATTATTAATGTCGACGATCAATGAATCGGTAAGGTCTCGTACGTAGCAATGGATTTTCACTAAACAGCTGCCCCTCCAAGTATGTCTGTCCGTCTGTGACATACACAGGGACCTCAACTCAGGGCTTGCTCCTTAATGCGCTCCTCTGTTGCGGATCCTGTTCCAAGCGGGGCTGTATTGGCCCCGGGGTAATTTGCTACTGACAACTAGGTGTTCCGCTATCATGTTTACCCCTGAAAAGAAGTGGAGGGGTGTCAAAATAGACCCCGAGAGCCGACCGGTCTACAGTAAATGAGTAGATATCCTGACTTACCTAGGTAATGTGATCACCGACCAGGCCGCTCAACGGGGAAGTTGACTTATACTATCACCGAACCTTTCGCGCCCATGTTGATCTCCATGTAAACTATCAAAAAGAGCTATGGTAAGAAAAGGTCAAGCGGATCGAGTATATTGGCAACACACTTCTTATGCCTTCTATCGTCTCTATTCTCCTCGCTCTCACCTGGGGCAGTACTACCTACGCCTAGTCAAACTGGTGGATCATTGTCTGTTTGGTTCTTGGTCTCACTGGGATGATTCTATTCCACGCTTTTGAGGCCAGTCCATGGTGTCGGGAGCCTATGATGCCGCCGCATATCTTCCGATACCGTACTTCCTTCGTTGCGTTAGCTGTGTCTTTTATCATGTTCTGGGTGGTCTACTTTGTATCGGTGTACTTCCAGGCTATGAAGCTTTCTACCTCTACTCGTGATAGTGTACAGTTTCTATCTACTAGTGTGATTCTCGCTGTGCCGACCGCTGTTGTCGCAGATGTCCTCCTTACTAAACGGGGCCGCTATAAGCCTATCTATATTGTCGCCATGGTTCTGACCCTCCTAGGATTAGGTCTCTTTACTCTCTTTGATGTTGAATCTAGTCCAGCAGAGTTGATCATTTTCCAAATTATCACCGCCATCGGCTTGGGTCTTCTGCTCACAACTACTCTCTTGCTCCTCAAGTGCAACGGGAGGTGATGATACCCTGAAGCTAGTTTGATATGTCTTGCTGGCTTTTGCTTCTCTGGTATTCATCATTACCTTCTTTGAGGAAGAGATCAAACTACGGACCAAGTTGGAGACAGGGTATGTAATCAAGGATCATAGGGAAGTGGGGGGAAAGGACAACAGCACTGAGGTATAATCAAAGGAGGTCGAATGCATCTGTTTTTTTATTTTATCATCGTTTCTAACGAAGACTGAATCCAATGAAGCCTTGGGGCCATCAAATCCTTGTCTTGAACTTGGGCTAATCTACCAGCTGCTTTTTTCCCTACTGAGTCAAGCGGTCCTCAAACATTGAAGGGAAATAATATACCTTTTCTTGTGAACTTTGCGAGTAAATATTTCTTCGTCGCATTGTACAACTATACCCTCAGGTGAATCCCAAATTGCCGATCCAGAAACGCAAACATCCGATGGCGCGCCCGTCCAAAAGCGCCAGCCATTGCCTGGAGTCCCCCGTCGGCTCTCTCCTTGCCAACCCGGATATGGTTTTAACTCTCATGAAAATGCTGCAATCGGCCGAAAATCTTGCTTGCACTAGGATCATCTGTCCTGTATATAGATCTTACAGCACCAGTAATACCTCTCGATACACGGTGTTCTTAACGGAATAATCCTTATTGCTCTTACAGTCGACAAAGACGGAAGTATCATTGGTATTTATTGTGCGAGAGAAAGTAACGTATAACTAACCGTAGGAGAATACCTATAGTCAAAGGTCCAGGCTGATACAGAATAAGGATTAACTAATTAACCCTGAGCGTTATTAATAGATATAGCGAACGTTAAACGGACGGGTAATTACCTCCGCGTAAGAGTAAAGGCTAGCTCCCGAGGTCTATAACGTTGGTTATACGCCTATATGTTGTTCATCATGTGGCCACTGTATGTGTACGAAGTAAGGAGTAGGGGGTTTCTACATACGTGGTTTCAAAGAAACTTATTTAAAATCCTTGCAGAATATCAAGATAAAGAGACCTAAAATAATCCCTTGATGTATGTAGTATGTTGTATGCGCGTCCAGCTTAGTGGCGATCATTGTACCCCACAGTCTGATTCAATGCCGAATGTCCAAGATCAAAACCCCTCTCAGCCCTGACCTCCGCCCTTCGCGGGCTCTTCAGAATGAATAACTTCGTTTCCTGAAAACAACTTGGTGGTGGATACCCTATTTATTTACAAATGAGATCCATCGGGTTGCTCGGTGACGTCCCCACTACGTCCGTTTTCAGTATGATGCCCACGGGCTTACCTTCATCCTTCTCTCCCAAGCGCAAACGAGAGCCCTCAGAATCAGACTGCTATAGTCCTTCAGCTTCACCCACATCGGTAGCCTCTATCGACAGTTTTGAAGAGGTTCCACTTCGGGACGAGGACGAGCTGGAAAGCTACAGTCCTCGCGCTGCAGTGGCTGGACGATTCGGAGAGTTAGCCATCCGTGGCGACCTTCTTTTGGACCCTGGAGCCTTGACTGGTAGCTCTCGGCGAGGATCTCTGGCTCTACCAGCACAGAAAGCATGCGAGCCTGACAGCCACGAGCCCAAAAATATGCCTGAAGTCCTGCCGGCCACTAGCAGCGAACCCGGTGACCGCCAAGCACTGCGATTCGAGCCGCCCGCAACACAAGATCCGACTTCCTCACCTGTTTCCCCCTCAAAGAAGAAGTCTGCAACTTTCTCTCGCAAGCATTTGAATCCATCATCGCCATCTAAACGCAAGCAACGACTATCCCCTCCTCTTGCGGACACTCCGGCTGAAGAAGACCCGCTTGTATGGCATGATTCAGAAATAACAGGCCACAATCCATCCGACCCAACGGATGATGGGTACGGGATCAACGGTATAGGGTTCAAGCCCACCGCCTCAATTGCGTGGGAAAGGTCACGGAAGCGACAGAAGCAAGTCGCAGAATGGAAGAATCGTGAAGCCCGGGAGGCTCGCGAAAGACGGCGCGAAAGGAGGAGGGATAGCGTTGAGCTAGACAACTTGCGCGGCATAAACAAAGGTGCAATGCAGAAGCGAGTGAAGTTCAATTTCTAGCGGGGCAAGCATGGCTGTGCAATATGCAGTCACATTTTTTTCTATACCTTTACTTCGGCGTTTATTTATTGAAGGGCAGGCGTATGGGCGGGTTTTTCTTCTCTTTTACTCTCAGATAAATGGGAGAGTCCACCGATGATTAGGTGGACAATATGAACTTTGCAGAGAGCTATGATACACAGAGATGACTTATGACATAACATTGATCACCACTTGATCCATTGATCAGAATACATATACATATACAGTTTCGAAACACCTCGTGAACTCCACAACTCCTTTTTCGAACCAGCAGCACTACCAGAACTTGTAGTTGGAGGGATTGGTCCAGCTCTTACTCTTCTTTTCCTGCTCAGCAAGACGCAAGCGCAATGCCGCTTCCTCCTCTGCCGTATCCTTCTCACGTTGTTTCTTGGCCTTCAGTTGGTTCATCAGATCGAGCGCTTCTGCCATTCCACTCAATTCGTTATTCCGTCGCCAGCGGCAGTATTCATAGGAGGCTAATGAAGTGATCGCAAACATGCCGACAGCCCAGTTTCCTGCGGACCATAGATAGTACCGTCCTGCATGCACATATTAGCCCCACAATTTCAGTTCTCCAATGCCGAAAAATTGTAGCTATACCTTTGATCAGACCTCGTAGACCACCAATTCCAAATCCGACACCAATACCAGTCAACAAGGATTCCCGAGCACATGGTCTCTTGTGAACGGTGGTCATTTCGGAGATGGGAAATGTTCCAATAATCTCGGAGTATGACACATCCTTAGGGTTCTTGCCTCGGGGCTTATAAGTTGCTTGGGCGAGCACGTTCGCGGGTTCTTCGGGGTTTCCAAAGGCATCCCATAGCTTCCCAGTTTGTGACTGAGACGGATTGTGTTTCGGCGTCTGCGAATCGGCGGGGTTATTGGTATTTTGTGTATTGATACCAGCCTCTGGAAGGGAGCTGGCCTCTCGTGAGTCTTCCGCCATAGTTTTGTGGAGTAAATTGCTTCTAGATGTCTACCTGCTGTCTTCATCCACTATGGAAGAAGATCACCAATATCGGATAAATAGTTAATACAGGAAGCCCGAAGTGGATAGTTATTCCGAAAGGCTGACTAATCATTATAACACGCGTGGGCGGTACGCGAACGCGTCGGGACTATCGAAATCGATTTGATTAGAGCAGATCATAGGCCATTGCTGGACCCTTCTAGAGGCACAATTAGCCCCAGAACAAAATCTCATTACATTTGCGCCTATCTACACTTTCTTCTTTTTCTTATTTGATCACAAAATCACTAAGTGCGCATTTCATGTTCTACGCTGGTGCCGCCCTTTGAAAGAGGTACTTCAACAAGCCCAGCCGGGCGAAGCGTCGCAATGCCTTCACGAAAGCCCAGCAAGTATGGAAACAAGTTCAGATCTAGTGCTGCATCCTCGAATCCTCGACGCTCCAAAACGGTCCAATTCAACTCTTTGCGCTCGACCGAGGCAACCTCCCAAGATGAGAAATTTGAGGCCATTCGGTTGGCCAACAGCATCGACGAGACTCTCGGCTTTCCACGATTCGAGTCTGGCGAGGCAAGGGCTGGCTGGCTGGTCAACATGCACAGCACATCGATCGAGGACCCGGATGTGCCTGGAGGTCGTGCCGGCGTGGATTATTACTTCCTCCAGGATGACGGAGGAAGTTTCAAAGCTACTGTGGAATACGATCCTTATTTCTTGATTTCTGTCAAAAAGGGCTATGAGATGGAGGTCGAAGAGTGGTGTCGCCGAACCTTTGAGGGCATCATCAAAAAATTTAAGCGACTGGAGAAAGAAGATCTCAACCTCCCAAATCACCTTCTCGGCTACCGCAAGACCTACATCAAGCTCAGCTTTGCCAATGTGAGCAATCTTCTAGAGGTTAGGAAGACTCTCCTTCCTCTTGCAGAGAAGAACAAAAAAAATGAGAGTGCGATGGACGCATACGTTGAGATGACCAGGTTTGTTTTGCATTACATGATTTGATCTGAACATTGAGTTAATTCATGGTTCTCATAGTGCGACTGCTGGTATCGACCTTTTTGACGACGAAATAATTAATGAGCAACGACCTAATGGCAATCTACAAGCGAGTGATTTTATAGTTGATATTCGAGAATACGACGTGCCATATCATGTCCGGGTCTGCATTGATAAAGGTCGGATTTTCTTCGTCTCCCAGTGAGGCCTTATAGCTGACGAATTGCAGACATTCGGATTGGAAAGTGGTACAATGTACAGGCTGATCATGGCGTTATATCGCTGACCTGCTTGGAAGACCGGCTTCAGCGTGCCGATCCTGTCGTTCTTGCTTTTGATATCGAGTGTACGAAGTTACCGCTGAAATTCCCCGACGCCACGATGGATCAGATTATGATGATTTCATACATGATTGATGGGCAAGGGTTCCTAATTACCAACAGAGAGATTGTGTCTGAGGACATTCACGACTTCGAGTACACTCCCAAACCAGAGTACAACGGACCCTTCATTATCTTCAATGAACCCAATGAAAGAGCACTTCTTGAGCGATTTTTCGAGCATGTCAAAATTGCCAAGCCTACCGTCATTGCGACGTACAACGGTGACTTCTTCGATTGGCCATTTGTGGAGACAAGAGCCAGTATCCTGGGACTTGACATGTATATGGAGATCGGCTTCCGGAAAAACAGCGAAGACATCTACCAAGCCGACAACTGTGTGCATATGGATTGTTTCTCTTGGGTCAGCCGTGACAGTTACCTCCCTCAAGGAAGTCGAGGTTTGAAAGCTGTGACTGTTGCAAAGCTTGGTTACGACCCTGATGAACTCGACCCAGAGCTTATGACACCATATGCGAGCGAAAGACCACAGACCCTAGCTGAATACTCGGTTTCCGATGCTGTTGCAACCTATTACCTCTACATGAAATATGTCCACC